CCTTTGCCACAGGCAACGTGAGGCCTGTCGTGTGGGTCAGGGTGCTGGGCTGGAGGGGTCAGGAACAGCTGGGGAAGAGGGATGGAGGGGGAAAAACCTCAGGAAAGGGAAGAAATAATTGAGCACAAAGGGAGAGACAGCGTATGTGTGTGTGTGTGGACCAGGAGCATTGGGAGGAGATGCTCCAAAGCCAGAGAAATGCAAAAGCCATAGGGAGAAAAGTTACAGAAGGAAGAAAATAGCAGCAGGGAGAAAAGCAGGAGGAAGGGGGAGGATAAAAAAAGAGCCCTCAGTCACTGCTGAATAATGTAGGGCAGGCTATCGGGGGCTAGCAAGAGCAACAAAAGCTCCCAGCCTTTTCTTTTTTCGTCATTAACAGATGGAGCCGTGCAAGAAAGCAGGGACGTAGGCTCCGAGCCCGCAGCTCGAGCAGTCGAAGCGTGCGGCAGACAGGAGCGCGCCAGCCTCCGCCGCAGCCCGGCGGCACGGGGGGATGAGGAGAGCTCTCGCAGCCCATCCATCCCCATGAGATGCGGGCACGGACACAGGGGTGAAGGCGACCCCCAACCCACCTTCAGTGCCCCTACCGACAGCCAGATCTGCTCAGATATGAGCCCTGTGTGGGAATTATCCCTGCTGGGAGGATGGGAATTAACCTTTCTACTCACCTTTCCTTCCCTCCCGCCCTCCCTCTCCCGCCTTTCAGCTGGCTGCACCAGTGGGTCCCCAAGACTCCCTGTCCCCCAGAAAAGGGCTGATTCTCCTTCCCTATCAGTTAATCCCACCCTGGTTTACAGAGACCAAAGGCAGGATGCCCTTTGCTGGGTGCTTTTGCCTTCCCAGAGGGGTTTTGCTTTCTACAAGAGCATCCCCGGCACTGCCGGAGCAATCGCTGGCAGCAAGAGCTGGCGTTGGGTCAGGGCTGGCAGATGTCCCCTGCACAGTGTCTCTTTTCTTGTTGGATTTTGGTTCTCCACATTGTTTTTCTTCCCAAAACCTGTGGGTTTGTCCTGGCAGACCCCACTGGAGGCTTTTCCAGACCCCAGGGCATTGCAGATACCATCCCATTTGCAGGTTCTTGTATATATTTTTCCTGTCTGGTGTGGGGCTGTTTGTGTTCATGCCAACATCATCTTCTCACTCTCCTTCTCCCTGCTGTTCCCATCCCCCAAGGTTGCATCCTGCCCAACCAAACCCAGCTTTCGTCCAGCCTTTCACTCCCCTCTGTTGTTCATGATGGACAGCAAAGATTGGGGGTGACATGGGGGACATTCCCCCCCTTCATTTTTGTGTGCATGATCCATCCTGTCCATCCTGGAAAAGCAGGATATAGAGAAGAAGAAAAAGCTGGAAGCCACAGTCACAGATGAGCGTGGTGACTTCCTCCAGGCCAGCTCTGAGGCTGGGGGGGTGTCCAAATCAGCAGGGATGGCATCGTCCTGTGTCCCACTAGTACAAGTGATGCATGTGTCCAGGGCAGCCATGCAGCCCCTCTCGTTGCTGGAGCCACTGGTCTGGCAGAGCCCAAATCTGGGGCCACCAGAGCTGCTCTGGCACCTTCAGGAAGGTCTGGCCACATGGAGAAGGTGGTCACCATCTTTCCAAGCCCATGGCAGAGAGCCTTGTGGCCCAAGGATGTGGGTAAGGGAGAGGACTGCTACTTACGGAGAAACCCCAGGAGGATGGCAAAGGGCCACCTTCTCCCTTCCAGACTGGTCTTCTTCCAGTTGGGATGGGGTGTTCCAGTGAGGTGGGATCTGGGGTCTTTGCAGGGTGCAGTAGGGGCTGGGAGCACCTTCTCGCACCTTCTCTTGGATCAGCCAAGAGAAGAATTTGGGTCTGGGTTTTAACCCTGATGGGACAAGATATGTGTGTCTCCCCAAGTGATGGGTCATGTCTCAAGGACCAGAGACACCACAGCCTGGCCACCAGCCCCACTTCTCTCTGGCATCCTGATGGCCAGGGAGAGGCTGGCTTACTGTTACGGAGAGCTACCTGCCTGACCTGGCACGCGTGCACACACCCCCGTGCCCCGGCTGAGCTGGGCTAAGAGGATTACGGCCCCGTTACGCGATGTTAAGGCATGGGCCGTGGCGAAGCAGCCTCATGAGTGGCAGAGAGGGGAGCTCCGAGCTCCTTCCCGCATTCTCTCCTCCTCATGGAGGGCTGCCTGTGGGAACAGAGCCAAGGGATGACCTGAGAGTCCTGTCCTTGCTCTGTCTCTGAAGTGGCAGAAAGTCATTAAGAGCAGTCAAGCTTTATTGTGTGGTATTGAACTCAATGGAGCCTCTCAGAGGGGAGGTACAAAGTCAGCTCTTGGAGAAGACTCCACTGTGGATGTGGGGTTGTGGTCCCAGTGCTCCCCATGGTGATGCGGGCTGGGCATGTCCTTATTTAAGCTCTTACAGTGACACTGTGCTGATTTTTCTCTTTTCTCCGTCCTTTCCCCCCCGAGTGCAGCAGGAGCTGCCAGCCCGCACCAACGGCTCGGTGCCCACCACCCCGGCGCTGGCCCGCGATGCCCTCCACACCAAGATGGAGCAGCTGGAGGAGCAGCTCCTCTCCAAAATCCTGACCCTGCAGAAGGAGCGCCAGGCCGCCAGCACCGACCGCAGCCAGCAGCAGCACAACATCGAGAAGGAGCTCAACTCCCTCCAGAACCGGGTGATGGAGCTGGAGCACGGTGAGTCTTGCCTAACAGGGATGGAGGTGGCACAGAGAGGGTTCTGGGGCAAGCCACCCTCATCCCAAAGATGGGTGCTGACCCTCCTCTCTCCTCCCCATCCTTGACATGTAGGACCGCCAGGCTACAGCCCTCCTGATGCCTTCAAGGTGACCATCCCGGTGCAGAACAACTACATGTACGCCCGCATGAAGAAGAGCCTGCCGGAGCTCTACGCCTTCACCATCTGTATGTGGCTGAAGTCCAAGGCCATAGGGGGGCTCGGCACCCCTTTCTCCTACTCTGTGCCAAGCCAAGCCAACGAGATTGTGCTGCTGGAGTGGGGCAGCAACCCCCTGGAGCTGCTCATCAACGACAAGGTCAGGCTGGCTGGAGGCGGGATGGGAGGGAGCCTAATGCCCTAATGACTTGGGGAAGGGAGAGGATCCTCTGGCAGCTGCACTGAGCGCTGGGCTCTTGCTCATCTCACAAAGGTTGCCCAGCTGCCGCTGAGCCTGAATGACAAGACCTGGCATCATGTGTGTGTGGCGTGGACCACCCGGGATGGCAAGTGGTCGGCGTACCAGGACGGCGAGCAGCGGGGCGCCGGTGAGAACCTGGCCTCCTGGCACGCCATCAAGCCCCAGGGCGTCATCATCCTGGGTCAGGAGCAGGTACGTGTGTTGGACTGCCCAAACTTCTCTCTCTCTCGTCCCTTGCCTTGCTTGCCCCTGGGACACGTGTCCCTTCTCCCCGCCCCTGTCCCGTCACCTCTCTCGCTCTTCCCCAGGACACGCTTGGCGGACGCTTTGATGCCACGCAGGCCTTCGTGGGGGAACTGGCACAGTTTGGTGTGTGGGACCACATGCTGGCACCAGCCGAGATCCTGGGCCTGGCCAACTGTACCTCCCACCTCCAAGGCAACGTGATCCAGTGGGACGACCAGGCTGTGGAGGTCTTTGGGGGTGCCAGCAAGGGAGGCTTCGCTGCCTGCGAGGAAGGGAGGAAGGCGTGAGCAGCCCCTCACGGGCAGCCCTGAAGCAGGGAGCCCCTTTCTCCCCTCCTAGATCACCGACCCTCGATGCCATGCTGGGGCGATGCTCAACCCCCCCCACACCAGCATCCCGGGAGGGAGGGGGAAGGCCACAGCAGCCTCCCCCTTGCTCCCACACCAGTGGCGTGGCTTGTCCCCCGCTCCCGGCACCTCTGTCCCCGGGTCTCGCCTTGTCCCGCTTCTGTTTCGGGAGGACCTTGATGTACACGCAGGCATCTCTGGTCCCTGCCTTGTCATCCCCAACAGGGAGTGGGAAGGAGACCCACTGCCCCAAGCGTGGTCTCGCCTCAGTGGGATGCCAGCGTGTGGGCATCCTCCCAGCACATCTGCCTTTCCTTATTTATTTCTAGCGCCTTGATGTCTGGTTTTGTGAGCCTGTGCTCCAAACGAACCCAAAGGCTGAGCCAGGAACATCTTCCCTTTCGGCTCCATCCCGTCTTCTCCTGCCACCTTGGATTTTGAGCACAGCCCCAGGGAGGCTGAGAGAGAATGATGGAGGCCTGGGGGGGGGGCAAAGCATTTCCCCCAGCCCCAGCCAAGAAGGGAGCACAGCAAAGCCATCAAAGGGAACGAAAGCAAGGAAAAAAGAGATGGAGGATGGTGGTGGCTGGAGGAGCCCTGGCTTCCATCCCCTCGGCCTTTTGGGCACTGAATTGGGGTTGCTGCTCCCCCTTGGTCCCCTGCTTTGAGCTGCTCCCAGCCAGAAATGGGGCTGCTGATGGCCCCTGGGGGTGGTGGGGTGTGGGCTGGTATTTTTTCCCGTGGAGTGCCTGAGAATACGCTCTTTCCACTCTGCGTGGTCACCGATGTCTTGATATGCGAGAGTGTGTGTGTGTGTGTGTGTGTGTGTGTGTACGCGTATGTGTTGGGGGGGATGTGGGAGGGTTATTTCGGGGGTCTCATGGTTGCTCAATGCAGTGTCCAGCTTCCAGTGCTCCTACCCTACCCCAAATCCTACTTTGTGCTTTCGGCGACAGCTGCCCCCCAGCCCAAGGGAGGCAAAGGGGGCAAAGGGGACAGTCCTGCTGCCCCACAGCCAGCGGTGGGGCAGCTCAGCCTGACGGGGGGGGGAACATGCCAGGGATGGGGTGCGGCCCTTGTGCCAAGTGGGAATCACTGTGACTTCGCACACTCCGCCAAGCTGCCCCCTCCTCCTCGCTTGCTCGCTTTCTCTTAATTGCACGTTTGTGAAAGGGGCCCCTGATGTGCGCCTGTGTTGGGATGTTTCTTTTGTAAAGCTGATTGTGGACAATAAACGTGATGTTTTCTGTTCGAGGCCAGCCCACAGAACTATTACAGAAATATCATCACCAAGGGCTGGGTATTGTCACCCGGGGGTGGTGTCGCAGTTTGGGCACCTCTCATCTACCCCGTTGTGGAGCAGCATGGGGTGCAGGCTGCTGCAGAGGGGGCTGGGGGCAGCACCTTTCCGTGGAGGAGGAACTACTGGCAATGGGGAAGCAGAAACCAGCAGGAAATCATAGCCTCCAGGTCAGCCCACGGTGGCGAGGAGCTCACGTGGAGCATAAATCTAATTAAGTGCCAGTAATGAGCTACTGACCTAGCAAGGCATGAGCTCGTTCACCCTTAGCACAGCTCTTGGAGCTGCCTATTCTAGAGCCACCTGTGGCAGGTCTGCATGATGCTTTTGCCCCTCCTGTCCCTCCTAGAGAAGGCACAACCTCACCAATATCTGGGGAAACCAGACCATAAACCCAGTATTCTCCAGGGCCTTACCATTACCTGTGTGCTGGTGGGGTCTCCTCACTGATCCAGAACCAGCCCGCAGGGTCCCACTCCTCCTTCTGGAGGGTATTTAAGGCCATAAAACAAAGTCTGGGGCTCTCACCTTCAGCCCATCACCGTAAAGCTGAGAGTTTTTTTTCAAGAAATAACTAACTCTGAGTAGGTACTTCAGCTGGAGTGTACACTCAAGGGCTTTGCTGAGCTGGAGGCTCACCCTCTCATCACTAACCCCAGGGAGTTCAAGAGGTGACCTCTGCTCATGTGCCCAACTATCAGCAGCATAGTTAGGAAGGATGGCACCTTTTTAGAGGAAGAAATGTCCAAAACCATTGCTGGGGTCCCACACTTAGGAGGAGGTGAACAAAGAGGGGCAACTGGCCCAGAAGACCCTCCTATTAAAACCGCAGGAGCCCTGAAAAGGGTGCTTCTGGGGCTGACGGCCAAGCCAGAGGACCTGCAGGAAGATGAACAAGGAAGGAAAACAGCCTGGCCACTGGTGCAGGCTTTTGGCATAAAACCTGTTCCTCCAGAGCCCAGAAACCCAGCCCATGCCGAAATCTGTGTAAGCCCCCATCACCAAAGCAGAAACAAAAGGGACACCAGAAGATGCTTGCGCAGGGACTTCAGTGCTGTCCTCTGCCCCCCTGCCGGACGATGTTGGTGCGATCCCAAACCCAGCCATGTCCGTGGGACCCATGGATCTGTCACTGCTGAGACAGGTGAAATGGGGAGCCCAGCAGGACAGATTCTGGGGGGGTGACCTCCTCTGCCCCCATAGGCTCACAGCCAGTTGGGCAGAGACAGGGGAATGCAGGAAAACTTGATATAATTTATCCAGGTGTTTTAAAAGCTTACAGCAAATGCCTCCGTATAAGGCTCTTCAGGAACCGAAGGCATTACAGCAAGATTAGAAACTGGTTGGGAGACAGAAAACGATGAGGAGGAATAAATATTTGATTTACATCCTGCCCTGGCTCTCTGCAGGAAGCAGCGGCTGCTTCTCACCCATCCAGGGAGGAGGAGAGCTAGAAGGGATCATTTATTTTTGGAAAGCCGAGCCTTGTGAGAGCTGCAAACCTGCGACAGGGCTTAAAAGGTGGAGGAGACAACAAATCAATGGCATTGCTGGCTGGGACGAGTAATTACCGTGACTTACACATACTGCTTTCTTCTAAATTAACCAGGAGCACTCAGGAGAAGCCTTGTGTCTCCAAGGGAAGCTGGTTGGAAAACAACACGTCACATGCAGAAGGGACACGGGAAAAACAAAGTCACCCTTGGTGGGGGGGGGTGGTACAGAAGGAAAATTTTAACAATGCTGTAGAGGAGGCTTTGCAGTTGAGGTGCAAGAGTGGGACACTGTTGTGTCTTGATACCTGACATGGTGGGGGGGGG